TTATCTCCCTGCCCTTCAATTAATCCCAAATGTGATGATCGCCCAGGTTGGCACAATAAACTTTAACTACCCCATCAAGGAAGAGTGTTGATTTTTATGAAATGCCCTTTGTACACCCATAGAGAAGATCATAAAATTATTTTCCTTTGTTTTATGGATGTGCTGTATTACGTTGACTGGTTTTCTAAAACAGAACCACCCCTGCATTCCTGGAATAAATTCCACCTGGTCATAGTTTATGACCCTTAACATGCTGCATGATTCTGTTAAACAACATTTTGTTGAAGATCTTTGCATCTATATTCACAAGAGATGTTCATTTGCAGTTTTCTTTGTATGGTTTTGGTCTCAGTTTGCACCTTGTTTGATCTGCTTAAAGCCAGTGGCCATGGTCGTCTTGTCACCTCTTTATTCTCAGCACAGAGCCCAGTGTTTGTTGCATGCACTGGGCTCTCAATTAGCATACAGGAATAAGCGAGCTCTCCAGTATGTGTGCTCTTGACTCTGTGAAGCACAGTTCAGCCTTCTCTAGCAGTACCACTTGCCATGCAATCCGCTCTGACCCATGAGGGTCACAGTCAAACTGTGCCCCAAGTTCAATGGTTTCAATGACTGATCCTCCAAAAGCAGATCACCAGGCCTTTCTTCCAAAGTGCTTTGGGGTGGACTCAAACTGACAACCTCCTGGTTAACAGCAGAAAACATTGACTCTGTGCCTTACCCTGAGAATCTCAGCCTTCTACCAAACCCAAAACAAACTCCCTGCCATTGAATTGCAGTTCATAGCCACCCTGCATGACTTAGCAACCCTATAGACTGGCCCCTGTGAGTTTCTGGGACTGTAGCTCTTTACAGGAATCGAAAGCCTCTCTTTCTCCCTTGAAGCAACTGATGGTTTTGAACTGCTGACCTTGCAGTTAGCAGTCCACACCATAACCTCTATGCCACCAGAGGTCCTCCAGCCTTCCCATCCAAATCAGAATCTCAGTCAATGGAGACTCCTGGAATCCCCCTGAAAGACCTCCTCCAGTTATTCCAGGTAGTTACATAAATATCATGGAGTGCTGGTCCAGAAACCTATCCTAAGGAGGACATACAATTTATCCTCGGAATAGACAACTGACACACACCAAGGAAGAACAGGGGAGCCGTCCTTGGAGGCTTGAGAGCACCGACAGAAACAGGCTTCCACCTCTGTCTGCTTTTCCCATGCAGAAGACAACACTGAGGTCAATCTGGATCAGTCTTTCCCAAAGCAGTCGATGCATTGCTGGGGGGACTGGGATCACCCAGGGTGGAACTGCAAAAGCAGATTATGGGAAACAATACAAACGTTTTTCATTACTAGGGGATGCTGGTATTTTTTTTTCCTGAAAAGGGGTGGTTGGTTAAATAAGTTTGGGAACCATGGTCTAGGGAAACAAGGCAATAATATGATTTGATTGAGGCCACATCACTTACTCAGCAGGAATGTCTGGCACTTAAAACCCTTTTACTGCTCCTCAGATGCATAATACTCTATGCATGCTGAACGACTCTGTGGATTCAGAGGAGAAGAAGAAGATGATGATGAGGATGATGAAGGGTCGCAGTCTTGAAAACCCTGCAGACTCCTCACCCACCAGATGGAAACACTAGTCTGAGAGGCTATGAAAGGAGGAAAAGTAAAATTGAAACTGTCTTCAATTTTTTTGTGGTACCTGAGTCTCAAATAACTTTTAAAAAGATTTTGTTGATTCAAGTGAACACATTCCTTTGTCCCTCACTAGAAATAACGGTCAGTAATAAGTACAATCACAGTGGTGGCAGAACTTCCCATTGGGCGTGAAACTTTACAATTATGGTACTCGCTTGTATTCCTTTTATATTTTTAATCAAAAAAGCATCCTGTTCAAAAGTGCTTTGTTATTTTTATTAACGCTCTCTTCTTATGAGAGGGTAAAATGTGAACTTTTCTGCAAATGCCCGCTCCTACCACCAGGCCTCCCAAGCTATAGACGGTTGATGTATGTGTTTTCTTCTTTTATCTAGATACGCAGCTCACAAATGAAAAGCACGCCGATGAGAAGCCTATGAACGCTATCGTTATAAATTCAGCATCCGAATTCAGTATCACAGATGGACCAGCCAAGGAAACCCTCCATGAGAAAGACCTGTCAGAATGCAGCACCTCACTGTCCTCCCTTGAAGAATGCCAAACAAGCTTTTCCTACCTCCAAACGGATCCTTCCGTTCATCCGGGAGATGCTGGGGGTACGTTTCTCAGAGTTCAACCCATCTCTAAAAAAAGCTCCCCAACCCCGAACGCCTGCAAAATCATCACATATGCTGCTAGCGGGGGAAAGGGGGAGGAGAAAATCTTTATGAATATTAAACAGGAAGACTTTGATGTGAACACCCTGGTGAATGACACGTGTCAAGGTCACTTTGCAATTATGGGGTGCTGGGCAGATTGTTTGCTCTCAAAGCTGGGAATCAGGGGCTTTAAACAGCTGGGGTTGGGGCTCTGCATCCTGGATTTGGGACTAGGTGGTGGAGAAAGATAAAGGACAAATTTCTTTCCCTTCTCAAATCTGGGAGTCTTCAGCCTGTGACTCTGGGCAAAAAGAAGGTGGCATAGTGGTATTTAAATGTTGGGGATATAGCGATAGGGCCTGTGTGCACCATTAATATGCTTACATCAGTAGCCTGTGGAAAGTGGTGGTTTCTCTCAGCAATATCACTGATAGTGGCATTCTGATCAGTCCACACTTAGACCGAACCATCCCTGTCCATGACACAAAAGGTACATTCCATTTGCAAAGGTGACTGGGAAAAGATATGGTGACACATTTTCAGCACAGTCAAGTTCCACACTAGGTGGAGGGGTTTTATTCAGGTTCATTTTGCAAGACCTTACAGGAGACAGAACCCATTCAAAAATTTGGTAGATATTTAGACTATTGACATTTCTCAAAGAGAACTATAATAAAGTCCAGTTTCTCCTCTGTGTTTAAACTCACAGTTACTTTTTGAAAATAAGGAAATTTGATTTAGCAGGAACTTTGGAATCACACCAGTTTAACTCCTGGCTCTGCAGCTTATTAACTGGGCATGTGATTTATCATCTCGAAACGCCAGTTTCTGATATGTAAGATGGAGTTACCAACACATTAAAAGGTAGTTTATGGTTGGGCTGAAGTAACGTGTGTAATGTTTATAATGAGGGAAGTCTTCAGATATTAGTGATTCCGGTTTAGTTTTCATTCTTAGTATGGTGTTAGAAAATAAGAGGAGAGAAGTGCTCCAAAAAGTGATGTCCTATAGAGTTAGCATGAATGTTTTAGACCAGAAACTACTACAGACTCAGAAGATATCAGAAATGATGGCGGAAGCTAGAGGTAAATAGTAGGGATGGCTGAGGACTGTGGCAAGCTGAGCAAGTGTCTCATCTAAAGGTCTTGGCCTCCGCTCAGCTCTAGCTAATTGTTACCGAAAGGAAAGATAGTCCCAGGTTGTATCTCCCCACCCCCCCCCCCAAGAAAAACCAGACACATGAAGTATTATGTGAAATCTCCACATTTTCAAGTTTTGACAAGTTACACACACACATGCACACACACATATGCACATGCTTAAAGCCTCAGACACTCCAAACAACAATTTATACCTACCTTCAGGCCAACTTTAGCCTGTAGACTACCAGGTTCCAACCGCACACCCAAGATGATGCCCACATTCCTAGCATTGGCAGAGGTTGATGCTAGACAAGAAAATAGCTAATACGGGGAAGTTTTCTGCAAAAACATAAAAAAATGTATAATGTATTTTACTTTGTTGTTGTTGGTAATGAGACTACACACAGCAAACCATACACTAAAGCAACAGCGTTTACATGTACACGTCATTAATGCCACTCCCCCGAGTTGCACAATCATTCTCATCTTCTGAGTTGTCCTCCTCCATTAACATAAACACATTCAGCTTCCTATTGAAACTTTCCTATCTCAGCTTGCTATTTTCAATCTGATCCCATACAGATGGGCCCTAAAAGAACATAATACAGACATTCTTTCCAAGTTAAGCTAACCTATGTTCTATTTGGTTTTGTTGTTGTTGTTGTTGTTGTTAAGAAGACCACATGGGCTTTTAAAGTATTCAAGTGAGCAGCCAATGTACAACAATTGGTGTCTGCCTGCTGGAGCCATAGAAGGGGAAGGAGAGTCAGCAACAAGAGGCGGAAATTGAGTGTGTGGCTAACTGCTTCCCTGGATGACTTTCCATTTGCCTTGAGAACAACAGAACTAGATGGTGCCCGGTTACCAGTATTTAGCATTTGGATCCAAGACTTGATAGAAGAATCCTGCTCAAAAGTTGGACCATACAGATCAGATTTCAAGTTTTCTGGGGCTTTCTGGGTTATAGAGACTGGATGGACCCTTGACAATCCTGAGATAATCTATTTAGAGCACTTTGAGACTGGACCCTTATGATGGACTGTAGCTCAGAGGAACAGATCTTGCTTGTTGTGTATATAAAGTTAATGGCCCCAGAATTAAGAACCACCATTTTTACATGTGCACCCAGTAATCAACTCTGATTTGTCCTATTGGGGTACCAAGAATTGGAAGGATCCACCCAGCTATGCTGCCTGAAACCTTGCATTCTCAGGAAAAAAGTCAGTGACTATTAGAGTAACAACTGATATTCATGTGCCTTGTGCAGAAAAATGACAGGTTAGATTTGATCTAAAAAACAAAATATATTCCTGAGGATTATTGAGTTAAGTTGTTTTTCTTCAGACCTGTGCTAAAGCCAATATCACCCAGGAAATTCAAGTTTTAAGTTGATGACATCCTTCTTTTTTTCCAATGTAAAAATTTCTCCCAAAGAGATAAGAGCTTTCAGGAGCTGGATGAAAGACTAAAAGCCCAGGCTAAGACTCATAGGCAACGACAGGGAAATGTTCTTTATCTTAAACATCAAACTTCAACAAAATCAAGAGTTAAATCAGAATGACTTCTTTTCTGAGAAGTTTTGGCAGTTAATTAATTTAAGAAGGCAGAAATTGAGAGCTAGGGTCATTGTTCATACTGAGATAAATACAGAAATATTTTTTCAGGAACAGCAGGGAAAACAGAAGGGAAAAGAGCCGATTGCATCCACTTGTATGTAGTTTGTGGTTAATTTATTTTCAAATGTATAAATGAGAGCAGAGGAGTGGATGCTTAATTGCTAATATCTATTATTTATATACATTGCCCCACTTAAAACAGGATGGAAAAGCCTCACACATGCAGATTTTGTAAAATGTGTTACATCCATTAGCACGGTTCATGGTGTGTGCTCTGATGGGAATTTAAAAGCATCTTTACTGCACATTGCAGACTATGTGCTGCAACATGATTTTGAAATTGTAGTCCATCGTGTGCAGCCCCTTTCCAGAATAAAATACGGAAGGTCCAAAGAACTCCGCGTGCTCCTGTTTGAGTTTCCATGCCCTCCTGACTACATCTTTGTGGATAATAACACCAGGGATACATTTGAAAGTAGAAAATAGACTCCTTTCAAAAAGATCTCAGTGAACATACCTAATTGATGTATAATTTTGAATCTGAGACGTCTCATCCAGGTGGAAGAGGAAAATCATAAATACAAGAAGCCTCCAAAGAATAGTCTTAATTACACCATGGACTACTGAATAAAATGATTACATTTTCTACACCGTAAATTTCATACAATTAAATGCGGGAGTGTCACCTTATAAAATGTTTCAATTTTATAATTATTTCAGTTCATTTGCTCAGAAAAAAACATAAGCACAAATTTACTAAGTATCACCCAAATCCAGTCATTCTAGTTCGAAAGAACTTACTTGAATGTTAGTTGTGCTTGTCTGAATTTAAATAGATCTTGACATATTTAAGTATCTATTAAAATTGATAACATCAGGGATGATGCCCTAGCTCAAGCAAGGCAGTCAGTCATACTTTACGTATTTTTATTCTACATTACATATTTTTTCCCTTCTTCTTCAGAACTTAATGTTGGTGGAATGGGAACAAGCTTCCCTCCCCCTCCCCCCTTTTTTGGTCAAAACCTTTCAGTGTTTAGTTGAAGATAATTTGTCATGAATTTCATGATGAGGCGTCGTCGGAACAGGAGACAGGATGGGGCCAGTGTTCGGCTCTATTCACAAACTTTGCTTGATGGAGGAGGGGTGCTGTTTACCTGAAGTCATTTCCTGAAGAATCATAAAGTTCTAGGGAAATTCCATCAATAAGTATTCTTGCTATTTGGGAAAATGGTCCCCAAGGTAGGAGGAGTGCTCTTCTGGAGTTGAGCAGTGCCTGCAGAACTGCAAGTGGTAGCGAAAGCTGCCTTCTGTCTCCCCTCCTATTTGGTACCCTCCCATCATGGTACCAGGATGTAGAGCTGGGACAGCTAACTCAGGGAGCGCAGCACCACGGGGCTGACCTCGGGACCATTTGTAGAGCCTGCTTGCCCAGCACTGTTGCCTTTTCCACTGTAATTAAACATGATCTTTTCTAATGAGGCAGACTCTCCTATTAATTAGTCAATCCCCAGCTGTACATTTAGCACCTCTGGAAGCTGCATTAATGCTTCATGTCATCAGGGTGCCATTTAGCACATTACAGTCCCCCACGTCCTAAAGATACCCTAGGGGTAGAAATAGGAAACAACTCACCCGGCAAGGATGTTTACCATGGCTTTGTGCTCTCAGCCAAATACCGCTAGTGACTGTGTGGCCCACGGGTCTCAGGCCCATCCCAATTCTTTCATCCAGGCTTAAGAAGATAGGAGATGGGAAAGCCAGTGGGCTCCTCAGATAGTAATAATTAAGTCTAGTGCAGGATGCCAGGTGGTCAGACACAGGGGATTTAATGGATGGGGGGACTGGTTACAAAGGGATTAGAAGAGATGCAAAGTTAGTTAAGGGAACCGTGAGGTAACTCAGAAATTAGCAAGAAGAAAGTTCTGCCAAGACTCCCCTTTGTCTTTCTACCACAAGGGAGCAGATGGTTTCAGAGAGAGAGATGAGACCAGGGAGAAGCGATCTCCACAACCGAGACACAATCCAAGGCAGAGCACACATACCACACCACTTGTCTGCAAGTCAACTTCAACCCTTGAGGACCCCATGTGGATCAGAGTAAAACTGTGCCCAGCAGGGTTTTCAAAGAAGCAGATGGGCAGGCCTGTGCCCTCCATATGCAGAGGGGAGGATTGAACCTGGATGTTCTCTTTCTCCC